TTTTAACTGAGCGTTGTTTTATTTCCTCTCAGGACTGAGAATCAAGGATGGGTATAAGCAAGCCTATAACTGTCTCCTTAGGTTTTGTGGTGAACAATCAGCCCCCTGTATGACTCTCCCAAGCACCTGGTCTTAATATGAATAACTGAGTAGAGTTAAAGTTAATCTCTGCTAAAATAATGGACCTGTCCTTTTTACCGAAAATAGTGGACCTGTCCTTTTTACCGAAATCTTCAGGGATTTCTTGGTTGAGCATTTGTGATTAACAATGCCTCAGATAATTCTTACAGGCTTTCCTAATGTGATATATAAATATATCTACATATCCCACCATAATTACTTTATCTGAAGGCAATTCTTACATGATCCAGTGGGATGGATTGCAAAAATGACTAGAATCTTTCATTATTCCCTGAATCCATGCCCTTTGAAATGTGACTTTTTAGCTCCTCCCATCAAGACATGGATTCTATTTCTCCTCCCCTTGCATCTGGGTTAGGCTTCTAACTTGCTTGTGACAATAGAATGTGGCAGAATTGAAAGTGTGCCAGTTTCAAGTTTAGGCCCCAAGAGGCCTGTGAGTTTCCACTTTTTCTCTTGGATCCCTGAGACTGTCATGTGAACAAGACCTGGTAGAGGAAAGGTCAGCAAACTTTTTCTATAAATGCACAGATAGTAAATATTTGGGGATGTGTGTACCACATGATTCCTGACACAACTACTCAACTCTGCTGTTGTAGTGTGAAAGCAGCCATAGACAATACATAAACAAATGGGTATGGCTGTGTTACAGTAAAATTATAGACACAAAAACAGGTGGTAGGTTGTAGCTTTCCAACTACACAGAGCAGGGCTGAGTCCCTAGACATATGTGAAAGCTCAGCCGAGATCAGCAAAGCTGACACACAGCTGACTACAGATACCTAAAGGAGGCCATCTGAAACCATAAGAACCATCCAGTTGATCCCAGCTTAAATTGCCCATCCGCAAAATTATGGTTATTGTTTTAAGCAACTAAATTTTGAGGTGATTTGTTATGCAGCAATAGCTAACTGATTCATTCACTTATATATATTGAAGTGAGTATGGTTTAGAAAAATTAAACTCTTGATTACTACATTTTACCTTGCAACCCCCCAAAACATATTTTTCTTTTCCTTTCCTAAAATATTTACATGAAGAAATCAGTTTATGAGGCCCAGATAATCTGCCTAACTTTGATGACTGTTCTGACAAAGTGGAGCTTTTTGAATCACAGGTAATGTAAGATAGACTCTCTGAGGTCCAAAGAAAACCTGTATTTTCTATGCTTACCAGGTCAAGGCAAGTTGTGGGATATGTGTATGGGAGAGGTGGGAAAGAAGTCCTACTATCTTGATATGTCTCTCATGTCAAATATACAGCCTGAAAGCTT